GAGGACCCGAGATTGAGGAAGACACGTACCACCCATAGGGGTGAGAGGGGAATTTTTTATCAACAAAAGAGCAGAACATCCAGATCACACTCACATTCATAACATAGTCCTGCTCATTTTGCATGATTCCTATGCCCATTGTGGCTTTTGCTTTCTGCATTCAATCCATTCCTGGCTACCGAAAGACTGCCCATTCCTGGATCAATATAGGCATGCCAGATCTGGACTGTTCTAGAGCTAGTTAACTGGGAGAATAATTACACCTTAACCACATGAATATGTGGAACCCTATTAGTTTCCAAAATCTTTTGATTTTGTTGACCCCTGGGTAATTTATTAAGCTTTTGATGTGCAAAGTTTCAGTTTGGAAATTTGAGTCAAAGCTGATTTGATTAAATTTTCAGATCAGATCAACTTTGTTAATCAACCTGGAAAGTTAAATGAAACGACTAAATGGACCTTTTCAAATCAATCTGATAATTTGGAAGGGATGTTGCAAATGTGGAAAAGCTGCTTTTTCCGAATCAAATTGGAAAATCAAAAATTTCAAGTTGTTATGAACCCTTGAATTGGATTAAATCAATGATCAGTATAGAATTCAAAGTTTTGATTGGATCAAAGTTGATTTGCACAACCTCCATGGAAGATATTTATCTGATTTTTTCAAATATGATCTTTTTAGATCTTGGATCCACTTAAATAAGTTTTAATTGTGAAAAACTATAGATATGCAGGTTAAGGGAAGGATCTCTGGAAAACCTTTAAATTTTGATCAGCCCCTTGACTACAAAAACAAAAAAACAGTAAATGTGATTGAAAAGATTGTCATATCAGGTTGGTATTAGTTGGTATATTCCAAAACACTTCCATGCAATGCATGATGCATATAGGCAATAGCTTGTTATTCATCCAGTGAGTAGAACATAAGAGAGACTATGCACATCCTTGAATTGATTGATCACTTATACTGTTAGCTACTTCATATAACTTCCATTCTAAGAAATGTATGCTATAAACTGCAAAACAGAATGAATGAAATACAGAATCCATTCTCAAATCTCTTGGATAATTGATTCATTTCACTTAAGGGTGAGGTAAAGGATTGTTTTTGATGTTTGCTTTCAGATAAGCAAAGTTATTCACTGATTACTCTTGATATTCCTCTGAAAACTCAAGGCAGCTACTAAGCTTAGCTGTTTGTCTACTTGTATTCCTCCAACCACAATCCTATGAGATAGGCTGGACTGAGAGATAGTGAGTGGCCCAAACTTACCCAGTGTCTTCCAAGTCCAACACTTTTACTACTGACTCCTACTGAATTCATGGTGAAGGAGTTCCATAGTTACAACATACCCAGATGCAGAAATGGAAAAAGAAGCCATATAACAGTTGAGATTTCATCAGTCAGTGGTTAGGAAGATCTGTCCTGGGTTTGTCAACATACTAGTTATTTACTGAATACTTACAGTTCAGCCCAATAAAGCTATAGACTCCTGACTGAGTTGTAAGATGTTCCCAGGAACCTGGTGTTCCCAGAATACGCAGCTTCTCTTTCAGCTTTTCCCTAATCAGCATAATCCTCTTTACTAGACTCTGAAGACTTTGTTTCCTAAGGAAGTTGGAGTGAGGGGGAAAAAAAAGCATAGTGTGCAAACTAATCAAATGCATTTAGAACTGAATCAAAACAAAGTTTTTTATCTCTTATTATGGCATTTAGTTAGCATAGCAAAGCTGGGAAGAGTATGTTATTGCCCAAGATGACCGTTCTGAAAGGACACTGGTTGATCTGACATATTAGCTTTTTCCAACATGATGCCGTCCCAATGTACTGAAATACATCTTCCATCATCCTTAGTAAATAGCTGATAGTGACACTGGCCAGGAATTGTAGGAGTTGTAGTCCAATACGTCAGACGGGCACCACATTGGGGAAGGCCACCGTAGACTTTTAAAGTTTGCATAGAAAAATCACAGACCATCAGTCCTGCAGTTTGGAACTTCCTAGCTCATGCATTTTAAAAAGACATTGAAGAAATAATTGGTTAAAAGCAGTGCAATCAAATCATTCCTAGAAATCATTTCTAAATACGTCAATGGCCAGAGACTCACACTATGCTAATAAACATCATTCAAAATATTTTGCCCTCTACTTCCAATAAACAAACAAATAAACAAGGTTTTTTCTTCTCATCAGTCAGAGCTTTGAGGATAGACGTGCTGGGAATTATGAGAACTGAATTCAAATATCTCTCACTTGGGAAAGCTAAATCCTCTTGAACTGGAGGATAATTCTAATGACTTATTCTAACACTTCTGTACTAGCCCACCAAGTGTTTTTAAGAATCCTTATTCCTGTTTTATTTAGATGAGGACACTAAAGATGGCAGAACTTCCATCTGAAGAATGCCCCTATTGGCTTTATTCTTTTTTCTCTGTCTTCCCTCTCCCCAAGTGAATGGTTTATAACTTTAAAGTATATTCTGGGATACCTGAGTGGATGTATCAGAATAGTTACAAGGTAACACACAGAGCTGATCTCATGGCCAATATGAAATTAAACTATCAGCTTACCTGCCTTCCTTCTTACCATTCATACAGACGGGCAGGGCTGGTCAATACCATTGTAATGACCCGGGCCCCCAAGCTGGTGGGCCCAAACCATGTCATGGCTATTAGCCGAGCTATCTGTGAGTGGATTCGGATCAGTGTTTGATTGTCTGTTGTCACCACAATGAGGTTTCCCACTCGTTCATCTGCATGACGTAGCCAAAGAGACACAACATTGTAGTACTTAGTGTATTGTAGTTGAGTCACTGTTTCTATGAAACTAGCTTTCTCTGCATATCCACCCCTCCCCCAAACCTCTTAATATTAGGTTTCCTGTCATTCCATCAAATACAAAAACTTGATTTTGATTTACTATCTGTAGACGTTACCAATTACTAAAAGAAGAGTCCCCCATCAACTTTATTTCAGGGATGGAGTCTTGGAGCGGAGTCTACATTTTCTTGAGGATAACATGTTGTCCCAATAATAGATAGAATCCAGACCAAAAGGAGACCTGGATAGATTCTTTTCTCTTCTTTCTTTCTTCCTTACCGCACAAGTGTCAGGAGAAGCAGGGCCAGATTACTCTTGCCAGAGATATGAACTGTTCATGGAAGACTTTTGAATTAGTCTAGGGTCTGTCTGATTTCAGGGCTAAGTTGTCTAGCCATTCTCAGTTTTGTTTATGACATTTAATTAATCAGATGGTGGTAGGACAAGCCAATGTCTGGAAAGGTAATTTTATGAGACCTACTAGAGATGACAGCTGCACTTCTAGTTGTAAAACCTTCTCCTCCTTCCCTCAAAGGAACCAATGCTCCTTGATAGGTTATGCATCCCATCTTGATCCTTGACTATTCTTAACATACCAGAAGTAGAAACAGAGTTTAGCTGAAAGCAGAAACCAGAGCCTACACACCTCTGTTTAAGAGGCAGGAGCAAGAATATGTGCTCTGAATCAGGGGTCTCCTGATGTTCTAGGAAATGATGTGGCAGCAAAAACAGCTTCGAATTATTTAATTGCTGCCTTGCTGTTGCTGTGGCTACCTCTCTTTATATCTAACTCCTTGTTGGATTCTTTAGCTGGACAGCTCCCTTGCTAATTCAGACTCTTTGCTTAGGACTTGTTCTTGATGTGCTGGACAGCTCCTCTGCTTTCCTGTTACAAGGAGGAATTGAGCCAAAAAGCTTAGACAGACGGAAAATGTTTAATGGGAATCATGAAGGTTGCATCCCTCTTCTGCTCTCCCAGACAGATGTTCAGCTCTTTTCATTTCCCATGTTGCCCACTGAGGGAAAGTTTGATTACAGTGATAAGAGGGATGGACAAAGTCTGAAAAGACCTGGGTTCAAGTAGCCCTTTGAAAACAGTGCCCTTTGGATATGCTCAACTCAGCCTATACACAGATTGGTGTGAGAATAAAAGAACTAAGAATGATCCACAAGTGCTGTCTTAAAAATCAATAATTTCTGGCCTAAGAACTGGGTCACCAACCCTTGAGTTTGTGACACTCCCACAAGCTTTCCAAATCTATTAAGTAATGAGAGTTGTTCTCTGGCATTACAAAGTGATTTTGCAGGGTGTCACCCAGCCCAGTTTATGACATGTTAGAATGGCATCCAAAGCTCACAATCTTTGTCTTTATCTTTGGATAAAACTATCCAAACCATAAATGATTTATGTGCTGAGCATCAGTGTAGTAAAGGAAAGCCTGGGAACATTTCAGTCTTGGCAGTTCAAGAACATAATTTCTTTTTCCTTGCATTCAGGGACCTCTAGTGTTTGAACACAAGTACTGTGTGATATCTTCTCAGAGCTCATTTATTTTATGAATTAGAATGTGTCTGCACTTAGAGTGATTGTGCATTGATATGCAATTATTCTATAGCTATTTTGGGACAAAAGACCATATCTCAGCAGAAGACAATGTGTTTTGAATGTACAAGCTCTCACGTTCATTCTTTATATCTCCTAAAAGAAGAGAGCAGATGATGGAAAATAACTCTTTCGAAGACTTTGGAGAACTACTGTTAGTCAGGTGATAATTTTGAAATCTATTGGGATTTGTAAAGGTGAACTTTTGAGATTATACAAGTACAGATTAAGGTGGGTGGTAATGACAAATCTATTCAGTCATGCAGAAGATGGCATAGGTAGTTGACAGCAAATACAGACATGGGCTTGCAGCTAACCTTGATGAAAACTGGGGTGTCTGTGCATGAGTGCACTGTTGAAAACAAACTTGGAAATGCAATCCAAATGTTTGATCTGAGTCCTGGTAAACATGTTTGCCCATGGAGAGAATAATCCGTCTCATCCAGAATACAAATACCTATGCACCATTGGACACAGTGATGGACTTGCTGATGGTTGCTACTTTAAAAAGATTGGACAAATTTATTTATGGCTTGCTGTTTCATAGCTATATACTGCTTCTAGAATCAGAGTCAGGACTCTTCTAATGGAAAGAGACAGAAGAGCATCCAACTTCTTCACACATGTGCTTTCCTACAGTCAAGGAAAGATGGCTGGTGCACATGCTGTGAATGGAAGATGGGGCTGGCTAGTTCAATGCCCCCTCCCACCCCACATATACTTCCAATTTGTGTAGTAGATCTTGTGAACCTTTCCCAATGACATTCAGGTGGTCCCAGTTCCCAGAAGCATGGCCAATGGAGAATGCAAAGACTCACCATATAAACCAAAGTTTTTAGAGAAGGACTGAGCACACAGAAGCTCAAAACCTTGGTCTACAAAGAGCCGCAGTGCCCAGGCATCCCTGTCCAGGTTTCCTGAGGCCAGTCCTTGAGCTGCAATGTCAAAAAAGGGGAAGAGCTGCCTTTTCTGGGGAAACAATGGAGAAGAAGAAGGGAAAGACAGCAGATTCTTATTATGAATGTGGTTGACTTGTTATTGCAAAAGAGTTTAACAGTACAATTTGGCCTCAATGCCACCTTGTATTTAGTCTAGAAATTACTATTCACTGAAAGCATGGAACTCTCTGCCAGCAAGATAGCAGAGGTTTTAGTCTCTATACCAAACATAGAAATTACGTGGGCTGGCAGAGGGAAAAAGGTACATCCAACATTCACTTTGACAGTCCCCAGCATGAGTATCAAGTCTTGCAGGCTAGTAATTTTGTATGCTTATTGTCTAAAACCAATGCATGAATAATGTCTGAGATTTGATGCACAGGGCATTTAACTGTCCTCTGTGCCTCCTTTCAAAGGAAAATAAACCCAGTGACTTTCTTCCAGAATAAGTCAGTTACTGGAAATGAGAGAAGGATGTTCTTGCATAGTATTTATTGTTCTGATTCAGATTCGTACATTCATATTTTCTATATTAATCATGCAGTTATAATCTGATTGCCTGACATAGGAAGAAGTCATCATAGTTGCCATGCCCCATATCTTTTTGTTTCGGATTAGGTAAGCTGAATTAAATCAGAAGGGTTCTTAACTTCACAGGCTTTGTAGTTCAGTCTAAAACAACTCACTGTGGGTCAAGAGCAGGGTTTCAGTGTTGCATGGGGTCAACAAATGGGTGCATCAAGGCATGGGGTCAACAGATGGGTGCATCACCTTTGCCTGATATCGCTTGCAAGTGTTTCTCTCTACGTATGGTGGCCTCTCTTGTCATGCTTTTCTTGATGTTCCCACTTACCTTCATCAGTGATGCAATTCTTTTCCATTCAGAGGACATCAAGCCAGTTTCTTCAGGAGCATGCAGGAATACAATGGAGCCCTCTGGGGCATTCTGCAAGGACATTCAATACAACATTCATCAGTTTTGGTGGGGGGAGGACTTTGAGAGTGCTTGTAGGGTGAAAAGCTTAAAAAGACCCAGTTGGGGGCAAAACAAAAAAGATCTACCGACGGGCTCTTTACCATCATTACTAACAGTTTTGGAAGCAGCACAGCTGATTCTAAGATGCTAGGAACAATGTACAGGAGTATTTGCCTCCATCATGCATAAGAGTGTGGGCAGAAATTATAGATCCACAATAGGACACTTATGTTTTGTTTTGTTTTTCCCCTGAAAATTGTCATAGATCCATATCCATGCATATCCTGTTAATGGGTTGGAAGGTAGATCGACATGTAATGAAGAAGGTGTTAATCTTTCTTAACTCTTATCAACCATAGCAGCATGTGATATAGGTCCAGTTCCCACATTCTTATAAAAGTGACTATGCTCTGAAACAAGTTTTTTTTTTGAGGGGGGGGTTAATTAATTAATCAGTAGCATGCAACCTTTTTTCATAGAGGAAGTAATATCTAAGCCTATTGTGGCTAAGCTGAGAGAGATCAAATACTCATTTAGTTTCAGAGGTAAGCATGGATCTGTGCCTGATTCTCCTACACTTCCTCTGAGCCCAATTCTCTAACCACTGCACCAGATGGCTATAGGAACTGTTGCTCTAAGCAAGCATGGAAATTGTTGCCTCCAGATACCTGCAGTTCTGCCATGAACATTTCTATGTCAACTGACAGTTTGATAGGATCCCAGTAATGGTAAGAACGAATGTCTGTGAAGCCAGCAACTTGGAATATGCAACCAAGAGTGTCTGAAAAAATAGGAATAACCATTAGAGCATTTTGTGCCACGTTATTTTTTGATTTGGACTGAACAGCACACTCATAATAAATTATGGGAAGTGACTCATAATTCAGTGATAAAGTGTATGATTTGCATTCAGAAGGTCTTAAATTCAATATTCAGTTGAAAGTCATCAGGTAACTCAGTTTAAGTCTATTGAGATCTACTTCATGTGAAAGTTGAAAACACTTGGCTAAATGAATCCATGGTGCATAATAGGTTTTTTTGATTGTTGTTCATGAAATAGGAGATGGTCTGGATTGGGTGTTCCCAGGTTGAGGACAGGTGACAGGTGTGTTCTCAATCTCCCAGTGCTCTAAAACAGTAAACCAGGGCACCCATGATTTGATTGTCCATGTGGCTAGCATCAGTACAGGAAGAAGTTTTATTGCTGTTAGAGTGTGCCTGTTGGGGCCCTCCTGATAAAACCAAGTCTCATTCATGTATAGATCTACACAGATCCATCAATAAGCAGATGCATAAAGTCACTTCTGCTATGTTCTGGCCACCCAAATGGGAGATGACGCTAGCCCATATAACCTTCTGACCCTTTCATTTCTTCTTGGCACGTCTGATTTTCCTTTCCAGCAATATTTCTAATGGCTTAACTAAGTTTTAACGGTAGGACTAGGCCAAAAAAGTAGGGGTGAAGAAATACATTAGCTACCCAGTTGTGGTACAGCAATATAGACAGTTGCTGGAGTTAAATGGTTTGGTCGGTACCAACGGTGCAGAAATTCAGCTCCGATCCATACAGCGCCTGTCCCACCTATTGTGTGAACACCACCTGCCTGTTTAAACAGAAGGAAGAGATATTTTTATCAAACAAACAAACATGTAGGATTGTCAGCTCAACATTTCAACATTCATCCCCCCCCCCATTGTCTTGAATGTTTTTAGTA